ATTAAAGCGGGATCTACCACTGTTGGTCTATAGCAAAAGCCATCTACTTAAACCTTAACTTTAAACTTACCTGTAGCAGCACTTGTAGCATTTGCAAAAGCTCATAAAATAGATTGTACTTTGTAGTACAATTAGGTATTTTAGAAATATCTGCAATTATTGACTTCCAAATACATTTGAAGTGTTGAGTCACAGAATCACTGTCATCATCCACACATATTCTTATTGTTATTGTCAGTGAGTTCGTCAAAAGTCTCCAATGATCAACTAATACATCATGCGTAAGTATTTTATTGTTGAGTTTAGGCATATAAACAACACAGTCACAATCGGTATGTCCTATTATATACGAAAATGCTTCAAGAACTTGTCTTTTCGTGTTAATTGTCAGCAAACCTGGTGCGGAAACAGGCTTGTCACCTACACTCGGCTTACCAAAACAGAAGAACATAAAAGGAAGTAAAACTATATGAGATAAGCTTCCTATTTTGCCTTCGAAACTTCTTATTAGATGCAACCATGTATTCAGTTTAGCAAGTGCTGTCTCTTCAACTTTGGCATTATTTGATGCCAATGGAATTATCAGCAATCTCAGTCTTTTGTTAACATATGGCTCATTGGCTTCAACTGCAAAGTTATCGATCAATGCATTCCAGCACTGGAATGCTCGGCATCTATTCTTCACATTCATTTTAAATGCAGTTTCTACTACTGGCAGCATAGAGTTAATTGGGCTACCAAAAGAGCTCATATTCTTTGTAATTTGGCTTTTGAGTAATTTCGTAAAAATTATCCACAATCTGTACCAAACTTCATTTCCAGCTTCTAATAGATTTTGCATAATTTTTGGATACCTAAAAAACATTACAATAAAAATTGTGGTTTTAATGGTCAATTTAAAAAGAATAAAGCCGTGAATTAATTAAATGAATTCTATATTGTACTTACTTATGTGGTGTATAAATACACTCTAATACTACAAGCCAGGTGGGATTATTAGAATAATCAAATCGGATTAACTCCTCTGCAAGCATTTCTAATGTCTCTACTGCCATTGCATTTTTTACAGCAGCAGTTTTGACAGAGGCCATTACCGTTGGCACCACTTTAGAGAACCAAATCTCAATACCTTCTTTCACAAATGTTGCCTTTTTGTCAGGTGGTAAAATTTTTAATAACTTGTTAATTATATTTAAAGCCTGAAATAAAAAACACAAATAGATATAAAGCAATTTTAGTAAAAAAAGTTAAGATCTCATAACATATGTTTGTCATTGCAAGCTTTAATATTGAATGAGGTCAAAAATTTCTTTTATTATATATTTTCTCTTCCCTTCTTCTTTGCCATTTTGGCAAATTTATGGGGCTGCTTGCTTGTTGTAGGGGGTTACCGCTGTGTGATATATAAAAAAAAATCAATTGACATTGTGCATGAGACCTGTGACCACACTTCATACTTTATGGAATGTAGGTAAAGCATTCCCAGTTTAATTCCGATGTCTTTGTGTATACAATAAGTATACTAACCTGCAATCTTATAAGCAATGGTATCCTTTGATGGCAGTACAAATTAAGCATCTCAATAATCTCAATATAATGATCAACAGCTAAAGTAATTAACACATTGTCAGGGTAGGAGAGTATTATTTCAAAACATAACACCTTCAGTTCATCCATCTTATTAAACAGGGCTGTTGTTTTGATAATATGTAAAATAGCATTAGCTGATGGCACAAGATCTGGTACTTCATGAATGCTTCCCGTCTGAAACAGTAATATAATTAAATGTTCAAATAAACAATTTCTGAGTGGAATAAAGTATTACAGTAGATTTTGAAAATGTTGTATAGTGGCAAAGGTAATTTATGTGTTGAAATGTAAAATTATTTTTGCATACCTTGACTTTATTTAACAAAGTACCCAAGACATTTAGTGCTTGAAATGGGTTTTTCATAATATCTTCTTTAAGGTCACGTATGCATACTGTCAACAGACGCTCCAATATTGTCACGTTTATGTTATTATTTTTTTCTAAGGCATCTTGTATTACTTGATAATTTGCTTCATCTATAGTAAAGTCGTCTAGGTGTTCGAGGAGTCTTTCTAAATCTGGACTAACTGCTATATCTTCTGGCATGGCTGTAATGTTTTAAAGTAAATAATTTTTATTTATTAATATGTTTATCTAAAAGTTATATATACAAAATATTGGACTAGTTTGGGTTTAACAGATATAGCATGCAACCAAACTTAGCATCGGCACATATTCAAAGAAAGCATTCCGTATTGAAACTGAACTAATTTAAAATAATGAATACCTACTTAATTCGAAAGTTGATACTTCTTTAGAACTAATAACACTTTATGTAAAGAAATTCATTTCATCAACACACACAACACAACTTTGACATATAACGCATTTCTGGCGCGAATAAAGACAAATGAATCCAATTGCCAGTTCAAAAATATTTTTAAATTTACAAAAACGGACGAAGCCGAAATAAATATAATAAACAATTTATTTCAGTTAACTTAAGACTTAGTTTATATTGTAAACTAACTAAAATATATGCTTAATCATTAAGTATAACCTTACAATGTCATATGTAATTTATCAAAATCACACCTCAATAGCACTCATACACAGTAGGATCCAGGAATTCGTTGAAGTTCTTCAAATGGATATCGTAGCTTCATGGCTCATGTATCACATTCTGAAATGCATAAAGTGCATTTCTTCTACCTTTTTTGTCTTAATTCACACAATAACCCATCGAGGTAATACACAACGTTATAAGCAATAAATATCTATCTAAGGTACGTAGGTACCTTCCTGCAAGTGGGAAAAATTATATTATTATATTATCACATTTTTTAGCCATTGTTAGTACTGTTTTATACTTCGTCGACCGAATTATGGACAAAGGCTATATTTTATTGATTGCGCAGTTTCCTAAAAATCCCGCGACGCTGCTGAATGGATTTCTTCTGCACCTTCTTTCATGTTTGCTATTTCGCTATCGGTGCTCATTAATCAGTAATTTTCAGTATATCGATAGTTTCGTTTTATAATGCTTAATATAACGACGTTTCTAACTAAATTGGAACGTGAAGAATTATTTTTATAATTGAAAAAATTTAAAGTTAAAGAAGAATTCTTAAGAAAATTATGTGGATAACATTTTATATCAATACTTCCAATTAATAGGAATGCAGAACAAAAGTAAATAATATATAGCTGATAAGGCCCAACGAAAGAGAAGTCTATTTGCATGCGCATATTAAAGATGCCAAGAAAAAAACACACCGCTTTCAAAGTTCGCGTGCTAACTCGCAAGTTTACATGCATTCCTCTCTAAACATCACCACATCTTCAGAAGCGCGCAATACAATGATAGCCAACGCCGTAGACCTGCAAATACATGCATTGGCTCACTGCTCACGCTTATTCGAAGGCAAATCGTCTGCGAATACACACGCGTGCCGTGTCGCTGTCTACCGCCAGTTCCATAGAGCCTAACGTTCTCAAGTTACGTGATAAGAATTGATGTTAGTGTTTTCGTGTGGCCATAAATTACAAACAAGACCATGTGTGGTTAGAACGTGCAAACTCGTATTAATGGTAATGTTTCCAAATTAAGCGACCGTAGTTGCGGAGCGGTAAATGTGTTCATTAAACGTATTTAGTTAGAGTTTGACGATAGTGATGCCTGGACACACTGGAAGCCCGTACTGGGCGGCAGTGGACTTCGACAGTGAAGGTGATGATAATCAATCGCCACAATCACATCGCCGACTGTACCTCGACCCTTGG